TACATGTTCCTGAACAGCCCTTCCCCTCTTATCCCCTATTATCCTTCTTTCCTCTCCTTTCTGGTTACTGTCAGTTTGTTCTTCACTTCAATGTCTCTGGTTGTATTTTGCTTGCTTGTTTGTCTGGTTATTGAGGTTTGAGAGGTGGGAGGGTTCCTTTTGTTTGGAGAGAGGCTTGTATGGTGGTGTTAGGAGAGAAAGGAGGGTCAGCTCTGTCCTCTCTGGGAAGAAAGTGGAGGGAAAGCGGAAGAGAGACCGTGCAATTGTCAGATTTTAGGAGGTCTGTCCTTTGAGCCAGAGGTGAGCAGAAACCTGTTTTTTGGGGGAGTTCTATTTCTTCAGCAGAAGAGTAGAGGAAGGAAGTTAACTGGTCTAAAAACCCATGAGAGCTGGGGATTTGGAAGGCATGAAAGTGCCTGTGCCCCCATGATGAGATTTCCTCCAGAATACTGGTTTCTGAAGTGATCCCTTCACAGCATCTCCAAGTGCAGCAAGAGCACATGCCATTAAATGACTGAGTTAGAAGCAGGTTGTCCAAGCTCAGTTCACGGGAGTGGTCATATTCAGATGTCTGTTTTGAGAGCCATTTCTGACGACTCTGAGGGGACAGGGATGCAGGGGCTGACACCTTAGGACTTTGTCTTGTTTACGGAATGAGATATTAGTTTACTCCAGTGTTAGACATTTGGGAGTCCAAACACTTGTATACAAGTAGAAAAATTTCAAAGTCACAGCATAATATTGGTATACTTTTTGTACAGTTTAGGCATCCTCCCCCTCAAAAAAGTCCTATTTGGGAATTTTTTCCCAAATTCCAGATTCTCTATATTGTGTCTTTTAATCTTAACATTTGGATCTCCTCAGGGGTGGATAGAAAAGAAGTCAGCTTTCTCCTTCTGATTTGAGTGCTCTCTCCAGTCCCACCTCAGCCCCGCCATATTGTGGTCTGTGTCAGCATCTGTTCATTGGCATGGTGCTCTCCTCTGTGTGGCTGGGACCCTGAGCCTGAGATCAACATCTTCCAGGCTTCCTTGTCAGAAAGTTCCACACACAACTTTATGTTCCTCCAATGAGATGAACTCTCATGACACTTAGACGATTTCCTTTGGCTGTGGTAACAGCTAGGTTCTTGGTTTTCCCCAGGTGAGGACTTTGTGGCAGGTGTGAGGATTCTGCATTTCTCTGTTGCTGCAGAGCTGTGTAACCAGCATGTCCCTGCCTCAGGGGACAGCTCTCATGCTCTCTAGTAGTGAGCCTGGAAGCTATTCGCTGTCATCTAACTTTCATTCCTCCAGCTTTTCAACTACAGTGGTACCTTGGTACTCATCATCAGTTCTTTGTGGAAGTTGTGAGGAGTGCTGAAACCCATGAGTACTGAATGAGTACTGAGCTAGTGATGAGTGATGAAGTATTTTCTCTTGCTGGGCGTTGTCATGACTCATACAAGTTCTAGCAAGTGCAATGAGTCCTGAGCAAGTGCCAAGTGCTGAAATATTTTTTTCTTCTCAAAATGTGACAAGTATGGGGTTTGATGAGTTCTGAAGCCAATGAGTACTGAGGTATGATTGTAGTTTTATAAGCACATATTTTTTTGTACTAACTCCCAACATGCTTGAAATATTCAGAATGGATTCAATTTTCATTAGTGAACCCTGACTGTTACAATATTTGGTGTAAGAAAAGATTTCAGAAAATTGACCCTCAAAAATGTGAATCTGAGATTGGTTTTCTGGCCAGTTTAGGCTTCAGGGCAGGGATGACCTCACACTGGTACAAAATGGGGTTGTTTGTATTCCACAGGAAAGGTAATAAAAGTTACTTAAGTTACCATGTGTGCGTGTGCCTGGAATAAAGTAACTTACAAGGGAAGGCTGGGAGTCCAGGGTGTTGCTGATAGATCACAGTTGTGGGAGTGTGAGCAACTTCCCTGGAGAGAGCCAGGAAAGAAGGTCGCACCCGGATGTCACACCCTGTCAAAGCAACACTGGAAACAAGAGAGCTTCCTCAACTACTTGGAAATAAAGGCCTATCTCTGGGAACTACATAGACTGTGTATGACAAAACCAGCCTCAAAGTCTGGTTCTGGAGATTGAAGAATTATATTCAACATGCATTTATATCCTTGCTAGTCTCTAATGTGACATCTAGGTATTAAATAGAAGCCCTGAACTGGGTGGAGACACTTGGGAGATACTGAATCTGAGAAACTTGAGCCTCCAAATCCCACTGAGCTTTCCTTGCCTACAGAAGTAACCCCTCTGCCCCATCTAAGGAGGTTCACTTCTCCAGCCTGGATACCCTGGAGTGACTCCCTCCTGAAGCACTTCCTTGGCAAGCAGATGCAGATTCTCCAAGGGCCCTTTATTAGTTTCCTATGGCTGCTGTAACAAATACCACAAATGCAGTGGCCTTAAACAGCACAATTTATTTTCTTAGATTTCCAGAGGTCAGAAGTCTGAAATGGGTCTTACAGGGCCAGAGTCAAGGTATGGGCAAGGCTATACTCCTCTGGAGGCTCCAGGGGAGAATCCATTTCCTTGCCTTTCCAGCTTCTAGAGGCTTCTTGCACTCCTTGGCTTGCAGTCCCTGTCTCTACCTTCAAAGCCAGCATCATAGCATCGTCAAATCTCTCTTCGATTCTGACTGTCCTGTCTCCCTCTTATAAGGACCTTTACAACCACGTTTGCTCACCCAGGTGACTCAGGGTCATCTTTCCATCTCAAGATCCATAATTTAATCACATCTGCAAATCCTCTCTTGTCATAAGGTAGCATATTTACAGGTTCTGGGATTAGGATGCAGACATCTTTGGGGGGCATTATTCTTCCTACCACAGGCCCCATTAAACATCCGTCATGGCCTCCCGCTGCTTAAACAGGGTCAGCTCTAGGATCTGAGTGCAAGTCTGGCAGACATCCAGCAAGGAAACACGACCTCAGTTCTACAACCATCAGGAACTGAATTCTGCCCAAACCATGAGAGTTTATTTCCTCTAATGACTAGCATCTGACTTGTTATTGGATCTTCAGTGCTGTTTAGGAACTGGGTGTTGTCTGCACCTCCTAACTGTAAGATGGGGCATACTTAATATCACTTCCCTCATCAAGTGGAAGTGCTGTATCTGAATTTGGGCTCAATTAGGTCCTCAAGATACAAGCAAAGTCCATGGCATCCAGATACATTTCCAACCACTCCCTCTATACACACAATCACGTGTAGAGAGTCATAGGTCCAGCTGATTGAGAAAAGAAAGGTTGAGTTTCATCTGGCTTGCAGATGTTCTGTATGATACCCACCACCACCGGAAAGTGGACTGCTGCACATTTCAGCCTCACTTCAAGGTAGTTCTGAAGGACAGTGGAGCAGAACCTTGAACAAGGCATCTGCTTGCTTACTTTGCCTGAGCAAGAAAGATGACCAGAGTTACAGTTTACCCTGATCAAGGTGGTTGCTAACAGTTTAGCTGGATAACTTGGGATATGGAGACTATGACTGGTGAGTTGATGACAAGGAAGTCTGAGAAAGAGGAATGTGCATGGGCCTTTTGGGGAGGGCATATATGGTGAGTGTAGTTTTGTCCCACATGAATATTCACCCATGGGCATTGGCTGCTTTCAGTTCCAATTTCAGAGGGGGCTTTCATGTATCAGGTGGACAAGATGACCTGTTCTGTGGATATCAGTCGACCCCTTTATCCAGCTGCTTTAGTGCTTTGTTCAAAGGTCTCATGCTTAAAGCAGACATAGTGTCAGGAATGGAGGTTTTCCATGGGTTCAGTAAGATGCCTTCTCCTCATCAAGGCTGATTCAGAAAGATACTTCTGTTGCAGAGTGCCTAAACTGCTAACAGCAGAGATCAATGTTGACCTCACTATATGGCATCATTATCCAGAAAGACCCAGTGTCAGGTTAATTACACTGGACTTCATCCAACCTGAAGGAAGCAGTGATCTGTCCTCATTGAAACAGATATTTGCCATCCCTGCACACAGTTCTTCCTTCCACTAGCACCATTGTTACTGAGCTTATGACATGCCTTATTTAGCATCACGGTTCTCAACCACATTCTCTAAGGAAATGGTAATATGATCAGAAAAGAAGGTCTCAGAGGACACCTTTTATTTTCTTAATTGAGGCATAACTTGCTTATAATAAAGTGCACAAATCTTGTGTACACATTTCAATGATGTTTTAAATATGTATACATCCATGTAATAATCACCATTCAGACAAAATATAGAGCATTTTCATCTCAGCTTCCACAAGGCTCCCTCCCAGTCAGCCACAGTTCTGACCTTTATCACAGTAGATTAATCCCACATGTTCTTGAACTACATGTGAATGGGGTTATATAGTATGTATTCTTGCACTCTTTTACTTCTTTCCCTGAACATTATATCTATGAAATTCATTAATGCTATTGTGTGATCCAGTAGTTCATTTTTTTCACTATAGGCTAGCATTTCATTGCATGAATATGTCACCATTTATTGACCCATTTTAATGTTAATGAATCTGAGGTAATTTCCAGCTTGGCACTATTATAAATAAAGCCACTATGACACATGTCTTTTGGTGGACATAGGCATTTATTTCTGTTGGATGTATGTACTCAGGAGTGAAATTACTGGGTCATATGATATATGTATATTTAATTTTAGTGTTGCTGAACATTGTTCCCAAACAATTGTATCAATTTGCACTCTCACTAACAATTTATAATTGATATTGTCAGTCACTTAAATTGCAGTCATTGCAGTGTATATGGAGTGGTATCTCATTGTGATTTTTAATTCCTATTTCTCTGACAAACAATAATATTCAGCACCTTTTCAAGCGTTCATTTACCATTTTGTAGTCTCCTTTAACTATTTATCAAATCTTTTTCCATTTCAAAATTGCATTGTCGTTTTTCATTGATTTATAGTTGTTTACGCATTCTGGTTGAGTCCTGTGTATTGAACTTTAATGAAGTCCAAATTATCAAACTTTTATTTTCCAGTGAGTTGGTGCTCTTTTTGTCTAGTTTAAATATCTTTGCCTACCCCAAGGTTCTTCTCAGGGTTTTTTTAATGATTAAAAGATGATGTATTTAAAGGCACTTGGTACATATTAAGTACTCAAAAAAAAATCACAGGGAAAACTGAAATAAAAAATATGAAAACAAGTAAGTATGGGTTCCTGATAATACATTTATTATATGATTTGGTTTCTTAGAGATGTGGTAACAATTATAGAATCCTGAGGAAACATAGGAATGAGAAACACTGACCAGGACTCGGATGGTGGGAGATGATAGTGAGAGTGATCACCATTCCCTACAATAGAGTCTGAGACTCAGGTAGAACTCAAGCCAGCTTTGACTTGAAGTCATCTCCAAGCATAAAGCTGTGTGTCTCCTCCAAACCCAGTTGAACTTTCAATGTTGATCAAGGGTCTCTGATTCTTTTGCTGCTTCTTTTCTTGACTGTGACTCCACCCCCTGAGAATCTTCTTATATTGCATTTTAATCATTCCATAATCATTCTTTTCTTCTTTTCCTGGACCCCATTTTACCCCATACTTTCTTGACATTGTATTCTAATGTTCAGTCTATGGCCACAGCCATCTTGTTCTGCCAAGGCTGCCATGGTGGCTTCCCCCACGGCCCACTCCATGGATTCCTGGGGCCTCATTTCTGATCCATTTTGTGGCTACTGTATGGCCTCTCACATGTCCATGACACCACCATGATTCACACTGTAACCACCCCTGTGGCCGTGGCTCAACTCATGCCTCACTCTGTGTCCACCACCATGTGCTCCTCCATGGACCAGTTCATCTCCTGAGCTGTGGAGCACTCCAGGGCCCCATCTTGTGTCCAGGTCCAGACAAAGGCCAATTCTGTGGCCATGAGGGTAATAAGTTCCACTATATATCAGGGGAGAGGAAAAGTCCCTCTAAAAGAGAAAAAATATGAAATTAAGTTCTCTTTTTCCTTATCACTGTACATTTCCATTTCGTTGCCAGATTTTCACTTTTCAAAATTACCTATTTTCTCCTCTGTCCACCACCCTTATTGTATTTCTGTGTGTATCACTCTCTTCTTGTAGTTTTGCTGTTTCTCTACCTGAGAAAATACCCTTACTTGTTACCTTATTAACATATCCTCTGCAGTGTGGTAAGGTTATGTGCTATTGGACTTTTGAGACAAAAGTGAATCCGCATTCCTGTGTGAAAGATACAGAGACTCACCTGAAAACTTTTGTTAGTAAAGATGCTGAGAATAGGAAAATGGAATTGAGAGCCCTCAGAAAGCCTTGTGATGACAGGCATGAACTCTGGAAATAAACTGCCCTGGGTTAGAGTCCCTGATCTGCCACTTACTGCATGAGCTGGAACAAATAAGACCACAGAGCTCCAGGTCCCCTACCTAGAAGGTAGGTATAATATCCCCATAAGATTACAGAGCAAACTGATTGACATAATGCATTGTAAGCACTCAGCCCTGGGCCTATCACTTAGTAAAAACTCAATTAATGTTAGTTCTCATTACCTATTGACCTTGCACATAAAATTATAAGTAATTTAGAAAGTGATTCCTGGATAATGGGTTATTATTTTGTAGCCTAACTATGGAGATAGGCTGAGAACTTTGAAATAAAGAATACCAGTAACTTGGCTTCACCTGCCAAACCTTTGCAACTGTAATGTATTTTTTGCTTGTGTACCCACTCTTACCAGTGGTACACTAGTCACTGTTTAACAACCAGCTCTCAGAGGAAAAAAGGGCATGATTCGTATACTTGCCCATTTCAGTGAATGCTACCACCACAGCATATTTTAAGTGACCAATGTGACATCAATGAATTCAGAGTGGGAAAGAGATGCATGCACAGTCCCTTGTCAGGCTGTGTGACCCAGCATCAGAATACCACTGATTCACACCATCCCTCAAATATGAGCTTTCTGAAAGGAACTGTAAAAAAGCATGACAAATATAAATAAATTTCAAATTTTATAGTAAAATATATATTCAGAGAAAGATTAAGACCAGAGAGCATAGATGCAATGGGAGATCAGAGAGTAGCTGTCCCAGACAGAACATGAAATGAGAGTATGGATGAGCACAGGAGATGTGTGCAGTGGAACACAGCCAGAAGCCTGCACTTTGGATGGCTGAATATTGCTGTTTCCTAGTTTAGGTTTACTTTTCTTTCCTTCTCTTTCAGATTTGGTGAAATGTCCTGACAATTACAGCTTATCAGCTGAGCTGAGGAGAACCAAGGACAGACTTTTCATCTCTACCTGTGCAAAAGCATCAGAAAAAAAATTACTCAAGAAGAACCAGAACTAAAATTAGTAGTGGAGGCAAGTGAGAGTCAGAGCCTGAAGACCCTCAATCCTTGGAGATTCTACTTTCAGTGCTAAAATATTTGAATGCCCAGATTTTGATTTATTAAGAAACATAATTTTCTTTAAATAACTTTTTTCTAATTTTTCTCCAATCACACAATTTTCTTTTCTTTTGGCCCTACATCACTTTTTTCCTTTTATTCTCCCACCTTATACCTCTTACCTTCCCTGACTCAGTCATTCTCTCCAGTCTTTGTAACATGGTTAGCAATTCCTTTCTTCAAAGCTCACAAATCCACTCTCCTCTCTCTCTGGATATATTAATTGCACTACTTATTTGAGGTCTACTTGCATTCATCTTCTACCTTTTTGGCAGTCTCCCTTATTAACTCATCTCTGATACCTACCAGGCAAAAACTCAGTCCCATTAGCAATCCAACACTGACCATGGTGGCAGCCAGAGAGATGAGGATGATGGCCCAAGGCTGCAAACGCCCACTTGGTTTAGTGACGTTTGTTGATGTGTGGCTCTCATGAACTGTATTTGTGCCCATGGTGACTGAGCCAGTTTTATGGGAGCTGGTGCTGGTTCCAGGAGTGCTGGTCAGCTCAGAGGTAGACCCTGTACTGGTGGCCCTGGTCCCCGGGACAGAGGTGGTAGATGATGCTCCAAGAGTGGACAAGCCCAGGCCAGAGGTCTTCAGAGCAATCCCAGGGTCAGCACTGCTGGCAGCAGAGGGCATGGTCTCCATGCCAGTGGTGGCAGAGATGGGTCTAGCAGGTCTTGTTCCAGTGGTGCTGGTGCCTAGGAAATGGGTCACACAATATGCTGCATTTGTAGTGGAGACAATTAAAGAGGAGGGAGGTGTACTTAGAACAGAGGAGATGAATCTGGCACACCTGTGGTGGTGGTGGTGGTGGCTGCAGGAGACGTATTGTAGTGGGAGGACAGATGGTAGAAAGTAATTTACTGGAGGTCATGGTCCCCAGAATAGAGGCGAGTGTCTCAGAGAAGAGGAGGTAGAATATGTCTGCTGGTGACACTGATGATGGTGGGGGCAGAGGATTGAGGAAATGTGACTGTGACTCATGCAGAGCAGACCTATTCAAGTTCAGAAGTGCTGCCCAAAGAGATAAAAGTGATACTTGTGTGATGTAGTCACTGGGTGTAAGGAGGGTACTGGAAGAAGATGAAAGAATGAGAGATACTCATGGGTGAGGCAGTGGCCATGGCTGGGAGCAGAGGTGACATGACCTAACACCATCATGGTGGTTATGGAGGTCCAGGTGAATGTGGTCCGAACAGGTGTGGAGGAACCTGACCCACGTGGAGGAGTCCAGCTCCAGGGACAGGTGAGGGTGGATTCAGAACAGCCACCAGTGGCTGAGGGCCTACTATAGCAGAGGCAGTGGAGGTGGTAGTTCCATAGCAACAGCTGTGTTTGCATCAGAAGTGGTTACACAGATGCACAGCAGTGTCACTCACTGAAACAGCAGTGGGGGGCTCAGAATGAAGTATGTATAATCTTATTCAACATGAGTGCTGATGGCAAGTGCAGATGTGGTTTTGTTCAGAGCAAGTGCCAGGGCAGGAGAAAAATCATTCTGGTCTAAGACTGGAACAAAGATTGGCAAACTTTTTTTGTAAAGGGTCAGATGGTAAATTTTTTAAGTTATCTGGGTCAGACAGACTCTGTCACAACTATGCAACGAAGCTGGAAAGCAGCTATAGATGTAAATGAACATACTGGCTGTTCTCCAATAACACTATTCTTGGATAAACAGTAACAGGAGACACTTGACCTATGGATGGAACCAGAGGTCAATATATTGAAGATGAGGTGGTGGTGTCACAGGTGGTGGGTTGTCCTTGGCACAGAAGTGAGAGTATATGGCAAACTTGGATAGTTGTCAATAGAACCGAGGTAAGTTTCCTGTTGGCAAACTGATGGGATGTAATTAACTTGTAAGGAGGGTATATTTGCAAAGAAGTGTTTCTGATTAAGATAGAAGTGATGGACACAAAACAAAAGGAGGGGAGGCCAGAGTAGAAATAAGGAAGAATGAAGAACAAGGGAATAAAATGATATCTAATAGATGCAGTGACTTGACTAGAGTCTAGCCCAGAAATGATAGAAACAGGTGATAAGGTGCTTAGAGAAGATGTAATAATTAGTACCTGGTACAACTGTGTTGGTCATGAACTGAGTGGAAAATTCAGTGACCTTGGTGGACACCATGGTGGTGGAAGAGTCTATGAAAAATCTGGAGACACTGGAGACGGTTGTTTCCCCAGAAGCAGAGGTAGAGGCCAATGAGTGTGATGAGGCCGAAGTGAAGGCTGTGGAGGACCCAGAAGGTGAAGTGGAAGCTTTGGTGTCCCCAAACACTGTGGACAAGAATATGGCTGGCACAGATTCTGAGACAGAGTCTGTGGTGCTCTTAGAGGCTGTGGTTAAGACAGTCAGGGTCTTAGAACCTATGGTGCTATTTGCAGTAGGCACAGAAAAAGTGGAAAAATCTGTTGTGACCTGAGAGGCTGGTGAAGAGGCTGCAATGGACGTGATGGTATTCGAGCCCATGCTGGAAGATGTGGTGCTCACAGATGGAGTTGAGGATGGCATGGTAGACTTAGAGGCTCTGGTGGAGACCATGCTGCCAACAGACTCTGAAGTGATCTCTGAAGGTGGACTATAGGCCATGCTGCTCTCAGATCTTGGAGTGGAGGCTGTGGTGTTGTCAGAGTGTGTGGTGGACAAAGACATTTTGATAGAGGAGGTAGTGCTCTTAGAGGCAGTGGAGAAGGCCACGGTAGTCTCAGAGGCTGTGGTGGAAGCTATGGCTGTCTCAGAACCTGTGGTAGTTTTACTTATAAAAACTGTGGGGGGCAAAGCTGTTATCATGGAGGATGAGGTGCTATCAGTGGCTATCGTGAAGGTTTTGTTGGACGTGGATGCTGTGTTCAGCTCAGTGGGCACTGTGGTGGCTGTGAAGGGCACAGAACTTTCAGTTGTCACAGAGCTTTTACTGGAGACTATAGTGGCATTGGTAGCAGTTGTGGTCTCAGCTTTGGTGGTGGAGGCCTTGGTGGTCTCAGATGATGTTGTGTTCTTAGAGCCAGAGCTTGAGGCTGAGGTGGACATAAATGTTATTGCGGAAGATGTGGTGGTGTCAGGGACTGTGGTGGATCCCACAGTGGACTCAGAGGTCAAAATTGACACTGTTGTGGGCACAGATGCTATTGTGGAGGTTATGATGCTCTCAGAGACTGTGGTTGAGGCCACGATGGGAACTGACATTGTCTGGGAGCCCCTGGCAGTCTCAAACACTGAGTTGGAGGCATTTGTGGGTGCAGATGTTGTGGTAGTCTCCATAGGCATTGTGGTAGCTGTGGGGGTCTCAGAGAACAGGGTGGGGGCCACAGTGAACTTAGAGGATGGAGTAGAGACTATCATGGGCAGAGATGCTGTGGTGGAGGATGTAAAGGTCTCAGAGGGCATTGGGGAGATTGTAGGGTTTTCAGAGATGGCAGTTGTCACAGAAGCTTTGGTAGAAACTACAGCTGTCTCAGAGCCTGTGGTGGCAGCTGTGGTGGATACAGACGTTTTGGCAGTGGACGTCGTAGTCTCAGGTGATGTGATAAAGATCATGGTAGCTTCAGAGGCTGAAGAGGAGGCCATGGTGGGTCCAGAGGTTGTGGTGGAAACTATGGTGGCCTTAGAGCCTGTGGTGCTTTCAGAGGCTGTGGTGAAGACTGTGGTAGGCACAGACATTGCCGTGGAGGTCCTGGTGGTTTCAGAGGTTGTGGTAGAGGCACTGGTGGGCACAGAGGCTGTGGTGTAGGACATGGGAACCTCAGAGGTTGTGATGATGGTTGTGATCATTTCAGAGCCTGTGGAAGCCTTAGAGTCTGTGGTGGGGCCTGTAGGGGGCAAAGATGTTATCATGGAGGAAATGTTGGGCACAGAAATTGTGGTAGGGAGCAAGGTGATCTCATATGAAGACACTGTGGTGGATTCAGAGCCCATGGTGTGGGCTGTGATGGGCAAAGATGTTATGGTGGTAGGTGTGGTGGTCACAGATACTGTAGTAGTCTCAGGAGGCATTGCAGTAGTTGTGGAAGACACAGACTGTCCTTGTGTGCCAGCGGCTTTGTTGGAAACTATCATTGTCTCAGAGACTGTGGCAGAGGCCAGGGTGTTCTCAGAGTGTTTGATAGTTTCAGAGGCACTAGTAGTCTCATGGATAGAAGATATGGTGGTCTCAGAAAATGTAGTGTTCTTAGTATCTAAGGTAGGATTTGTAATGGGCCCAAATATAACGGTAGATGTGGTGATATCAGAAGCTATGGTGGACTCAGAGACCAGAGTAGACACTGTCATGGTCAGAGATGCTGTGGTAGAGGGGTCAGAGTCCATAGTGGAGGTTGTTTTTGTTATAGGCATTGTAGAGGGCATAGTGGTCTCAGAGACCGTAGTGGAGGCTGTGGTTGGCACAGATTCTGTGGTGGAGATCACGGTGCTGTCAGAGGCTGTGGTGAAGCCCATTGTAGATATAGACTCTGCAGTGGTCCCAGAAACAGTAGTGGTTTCAGAGGCTGTAGAGAAGACTGTGGTGGGCACAGGTGTTATGATGGAGGCCTTGGCACTCTCAGGGACTATACTGAGCGATATAGTAGGCACAGATGCTGTGATGGTCTCAAAAGGCATTGTGGTGACTATGGAGTGCATAGATGTTGCAGTTGTCCCAGAGCCTTTAGTGGACACTGTAATGGTGTTACTTTCTGCAGCAACTGTAATAGAGACTGTGATTAGGGCATCCAGGGAAGAGTTGTCATTTGTTTTAATTTCTGTGCTCAGAGAGGCCCTGATGCCTGTTGTGACTGGTGTTTGTAGGGATGTCTGGCTTTTCAATGGAACATTATAAGAATTTTTTTATCAGATAGAACAGTATTTTTCATCTTTCTTTTCTTTTCCTCTCTAATAGCAATTTCTGCTTTTTATGGACATTAAAATCAACGTTTTTCCTTCTTTAAAAAATTGTTTTTATTGTTGTTCAATTACCATTGTCTCCATGATTCCCACATTACTCTCCCCTATCCTAAGTGTAACATGGTCCTTCTTTCTACTAGATGTGCTTATACTTTCTTTTAGTTCTGAATGGCTTATTATTGAAATATGTGTATTCCATCTTTATATTGATATGGGTTTTCTTCCTTCCTCTGTGACTCTGTTTTATTCCTAGTTTGTTAGAGTCATTTTTATTTTTTAAGATTTTATTTATTTTAAGAGAGGGGAATCAAGGAAGAGAGGGAGGGAAACATCAAGGTGTAGTTGCCCCTCGTGCACCCCCTACTGGACAACCCAAGCATGTGCCCTACACTGGGAATCAAGCTGGCAACCCTTTGGTTTGCAGGCTGGCACTCAATCCACTAAGCCACACCAGCCAGGGCTGTTAGAGTAATTTTTTAAAAATTAGTTTGCCCTAGCCAGGTGGCTCAGTTGGTTGAAATGTCATCCCATACAACAATACGTTGTGGGTTTGACCCCTAAGCACATACTTAGGTTGCAGTTTCAATACCTAGCCAGAGCACATAAGGGAGCCAACCAATTGATGTTTCTCTCTCTCTTCCTTCCTCTCTCTCTATCAAACATATCCTCAGGTAAGGATTTTTTAAAAAGAATCAGGAGGGTTATCTTGATTGCAGAGGTCCCCCTGAGGAGTAAGGGATTCCAGCCTCACACTGGGCTCCCCAGCCAGGGACATCAGTGCCAAGGAGTCCCCATAACATCTGGCTATGAAAACCAACAAAACAAATCAGTGAGCAAAACAGAACCAGAGACATGGAAATAAAGAACAAACTGACAGTGACCAGAGGGGAGGGGGAGGGGGATAAAAGGGGAAAGAAGGGGATGGGTCAAGTTAAGGAACATGTATAAAGGACCCAAGGGCAAATACAATGGTGGGGTGAGGGGAGGACTGAAAGTGGAAGGTGGGGGTGGATAGGGCAGGGGAGAGTAATGGGGGAAAATGGGGACAACTGTAATTGAACAACAACAGAAAATAAAATAAAATAAAATAAAATAAAATAAAATAAAATAAAATAAAATAAAATAAAATAAAATAAAATAAAATACAAACAGTTAAAAAAAACAAAACAGTGGGAATTACATCCAAGTAAGTTGAAGAGTTGCTGAAGTCCCAGACATTTCTCCTGAGGACTGTGAGTGGACTTGCTGGCTCACAGACTCACTCACTTTGGGATCCAGTGCAAGGGTGGCAGCCCAAAGAACATCAGGGATATATGGGGAATAACTGAATTGACTAGCTTCATGATGCGAGAGCTGGATGGGGAGAGGTCAGGGCAGCTCTTTCCAGGGACAGAATTGCTGGCAGGTGCTGTTGTTCCTTGGTGGAACCCTTCCCTCCACCCAGCCAGTCTGGCCCAGGAAGGCACCAAATCTGAGTTTCTTTTAATTTGGCTAATACTGATCACTTACCCTGGTGATTCCCTGAGATCCCCATCCCACCCACCTCACATGCCCAGCCCTAGCCACATCCAGTAGCTTTTGCACACAAAGGCCCAGCCTCAGCTAGTGCTGTGAACCTTCCTAAAATTTCTCAAAAGTCCACAAAACCCATAAAAGCGGCAGCTGGCCTCACTATGACCTGTACCTCTTGCAAAGTGGCCCTAAACCCAGCACAAGTGGCATTTAGCTTTAATTTACATTGTAACTCCCACCAGGCAGCCCCAAGCCTGGTGCAAGTGGCAGCCAGTGTTGGCTTGAAATATAGCTTCAACTAAGCATCCACAAGCCTGGCACAAGAGGCAACTGGCCTCAGCTCACTTTGTAGTGTTCACTAAAGGGTCCCAAGGCTGGCACTAGTGGCAGCTGGCCTTGGTTCACAGAACAGCTTTTTCCAAGTGCCTCCAATCCCAGCACAAGTGGCAATCAACAACAGATCATTTTGTAGCTCTCACTAGGTTGTCCCAAGCTGGGCAAAAATGGCTAGCACCAGAGACCTCCCAAGAACCTTCAAAACCAACATGCCAGGTGGCCAGATTCAGACCACACCACAGCACCATCCAACCACCTCCACATACAATAGACATGAAAGGCAGGCCCAGCTGTCACCAGAGCCTAGCTTAAGCAACTTCCGCTCCATAGGATCAGCCCTACACAGCCACTTGCCTGGTATAGCCACAGCCAGTCCTCACAGCCAGTCACACCGAGGTCAGGCTCACCCACTGATGCACCAACAGCAATCAAGGCTCAACTACAATAGGAGGGCACACACAACCCACACAGGGGAAACCCCTGGAGCACCTGGCTCAGATGAAGAGTGAGACTGCACTGTTGGGCCTCACAGGACACCTCCCACATGAGGGCTCTCTGTCAAAACCATGAGACTTAGCATCTTTACCTAATACATAGACACAAACATAGAGAGGCACCCAAAAGGTAGTGACAAAGAAATATGTCCCAAATAAAAGAACAACAACAAAAAAACGCTCCAGAAAAAGATCTAAATGAAATGGAGAGAATCAATCTACCAGATACAAAGTCCAAAACACTGGTTATAAGAAGGCTCAATGAACTTAAGGGAAGGATGAGTGAACTCAAAGTAAACCTCAACAATGAGAGAGAAACTATTAAAAAAAAGAAGCAGTCAGGAGACTTTCAGCCAAGGTGGAGACATAGTTAGACACACTGTGCCTCCTCACACAACCAAAAGAAGGACAATAACAAATTTAAAAACAAAAAACAACCAGAACTGACAGAAAATCAAACCATATGGAAGTCGGACAACCAAGGAGTTAAAGAAGAAACATTCATCCAGAGCAGTAGGAGGGACAGAGACTGGCAGCCAGGCGGAGAGGACTCTCAGTAAGGCAGTGGCTGAAGGAGCAGACAAGGTGGTGGCTTGTGGACTGGGCAGTCCCACATTTGCATGCAAATAAACCAGGAGGAACAACTGGGAAGCAAGACAGACCACGCAGTCCAGAGGGTTCCAGTGCTGGGGAAATAAAGCCTCAGAACCTCTGACTGTAAAAACCTGTGGGGGGGAAGAGGGCAGTGGGAAACACTCCCAGCCTCACAGGAGAGTCTGCTGGAGAGACTGACAGGGCCCTAGAATGTACAAAACCCCACCCACATGGGAATCAGCACCAGAAAGGCCCAATTTGCTTGTGGGTAGCGGGGGAAGTGACTGAAAGCTGGCAGAGAGCTGAGCAAGCAGCACCATTCCCTCTTGGACCCCTCCCCTACATACAGCATCACAACACAGTGATGTGGGTTGCCCTGCCCTGGTGAACACCTAAGGTTCCACCCCTTACTACATAAGAGCCACACTGAGACGACGACTACAACAACAACAACAATAACAACAACAACAAAGGCCCAAATGAAAGAACAGATCAAAGCTCCAGAAAAAATACAACTAAGCAACAAAGAGATAGCCAACCTATCAGATGCACAGTTCAAAACACTGGTAATCAGGATTCTCACAGAATTGGTTGAGCTTGGTCACAAAATAGAAGAAAAAAGTGAAGACTATCCAAAGTGAAATAAAGGAAAATGTACAGGGAACCAACAGTGATGAGAAGGAAACCGGGATCCAAATCAATGGAGTGGAGCAGAGGGAAGAAAGAAACATTCAACCAGAACAGAATGAAGAAATAAGAATTCAATAAAATGAGGAGAGGCTTAGGAACCTCCAGGACATCTTTAAACATTCCAGCATCTGAATCATAGGGGGTGCCAGAAGGATAAGAAGAAGAGCAAGAAATTGAAAACTTCTTTGAAAAAATAATAAAGGACAACTTCCCCCGTCTGGCAAAGGAAATACACTTTCAGGAAGTCCAGGGAGCTCAGAGAGTCCCAAAGAAGTCGGATCCAAGGAAGCACACACCAAGGCACATCATATTTAAGTTACCCAAGATTAAAGATAAGGAGAGAATCCTAGAAGCAGCAAGAGAAAAGGAGACAGTTACCCACAGAGGAGTTCCCATAAGACTGTCAGCTGATTTCTCAAAAGAAATCATGCGGGCAAGAAGGGGCTGGAAAGAAGTATTCACAGTCAAGAAAGGCAAGCACCTACATCCAAGATTATTCTGCCCAGCAAAGCTATAATTTAGAATGAAAGAGCAGATAAAGTGCTTCCCAGATAAGACCCAGTTAAAGGAGTTCATCATCACCGGGCCCTTGTTGTATGAAATGATAAAGGGACTTATCTAAGAAAAAGAAGGTAAAAAATATGAACAGTAAAATGACAACAAACTCACAGTTATTAACAACTGAACCTAAAACAAAAACAAAGACAAACTGAGCAAACAACTAGAACAGGAACAGAATCACAGAAATGGAGATCACATGGAGGGTTATCAGTGGAGAAGGGGAGGGAGGAATGGGGGAAAATGTACAGGGAATAAGGAGTGTAAATGGTAGGTACAAAATAGATGGGGGGAGGTTAAAAAATATAATAGAAGATGTAGAAGCCAAGAACATATATGTACAACCCATGGACATGAGCTAAGGTTGGGGGCAATGTGGGCAGGAGGGGGTGTGCAGGGCAGAGGAGAATAGAAGGGGGGAAATAGGACCACTATAATAGCATAATCAATAAAATATATTTAAAAAATAAAGCATCTTTAAAAGATAATATACTGGTAGCAAATAATAACAATGAATTATGAGGCTTATACATATGTATACATAAAATGCATAACTACAGTGACACAAAAGACAGAGGAGGAAATGGGAGCATATTGTAAGATTCTTACGTTCTAATGTAAGGAGGTTT